TATACAAGTCTTTTATACATTAGTAAGCTGAAAATATAACTTAGTTTAAAATTTGAGGTGAAAGATACATGTGGTGCATGTTGATACTAAATAAACAAGATGGCTTTCTGAAAGAGGGGGGGAATTTAACACCAGGATTTTACACATTTTTTCTTAGATTGTATCTATAGGGCTAACTTGCTATGTTGGCTCACCTAGAAATAGCCAATAAATGACTATCTTTTCTAGATGGTTCAGATTTCCTAGATGAGGTGATAACTTGATTAGGTAAACATTTGGAGACTCAAGGAACCTTGGGCATTGTAGCATTGTTGCTAAGAGACAATTATAAAGACAAATGTTCTTTGGAGCATGCAAGAGAGTATATGGTGATGCAATGTCAAATTATTTATCAAAGCTTCACAATATATGTTTGTTATATTCTAGGAATTCGATTTTTGGAATTGAAATGATAAGATTATGTTTCTTGAATCTTTTCTTAGTTGACATTTAGTTGACTTGTAGAATATTCTAAATTTTAAGTAGATTTAGTCTCTTTTTTTGAAAATATTTAACCTTATGATACTTTGTTTCTCTAGTGTTTTCAAGTGACTTTGCAGATGTCAAGGATACTGTTATACTATTCAATAATTTTGGGAGTACATGTTGTATCTTATGTCACACATAAATCTTCCCCTTTCTCTCTCCCCTAAATGTGATTGAAGGTTACTAAGTTGATTCATTTAGTTAAGTGAATCAACTAACTGGTTCTCTTATACAATTGATATTCATAATAATTTTATAATTCATTTATCTTCATTTGGATCTCCTCTTGAATGATTGTTTTTATTAATTTATGTGGAAGATGAAATAAATAAAAATAGAAATAATCTAATAGTTTATACGTTCATCTAAGAATATAATAATGATCATTTTTCTCTTTGAGCACATCACTTAAAGGAGAAAAATGGGTTCAGCATCATGTTGATGTAGGTAATCCAATTTGGATGGTCATCTAACTATTTGTGTACCAAGAATATATTAATGATCATTTTTCTCTTCGAGAACATCACTTTGAGGAGAAAGATGAGTTCCGCATCATATTGATGAAGCAAATCCAATTGTCTTTTAAGCTTGGGTTTTCGACAATGATTTAATTTTAATAAACATATATTTAGCTTTCGTGAAAGGATTTATGTAAACCACTTAAATTTGGTTGCATTGTTTTCTTGTAGCTTTTCATTTTTCTTCTATCCTGTTTTATCCTTGTATTTTTTTTGTGATTTTTTTCGAGTTCCATGGTGGGTAACATATTTATTGATTTGACTTCTGTTGTCAGAATTCATAGCCTTATGTTATCACAGCATCGCTTGTTCGCATGGATTGGTTCTCAAACGTCGAGCCGTCTTTTCCAAGTCTAATGTTTAAGTTGTTATTCTAAGTCAGAAGGTCCCACAAAGTTTGAGAACAGATTAAATATTGCGGTTCGATTCCATCCCAACTGAATATACATTTCTTGGAATTGCTTGCTTTTAGATATAAATTTCAAAGGCATCATATATCCAGAATTGCTGCTGGGTTAAATTCTGCAACTTTGTGGCTTTTGCTGCTGCCGTGTGAATTCAAAGGGAAATACTTTAAGCTGTCGCCCCACCGATCCAGAAGTTCCTGCTATTTACTTTGGGTCGATGATACTTGCGATGATGATAACGCGTCGATCTATCCAACGTGGAGCCTAAATGTCCCTTCTGCTAACCTTGACTTGAATTCCAGTGAGGATAACCAGGCGGATTCTCGTAAAGTCAGAGGCGAAGCTCCGTACGCGTTGTTAGTCGGCCGTCGGCCGACGGAAGAGCCTTATATTCCAGAACAAGACGACAACGAAGTGCAGTATCTCAGCAGTGTTGTCCACATTGTACGTATTGCGACATGTCGTGCACCGGAGAACCCATCATTTTTTAGCCTTTGACGTCGTTCGTCGCCGAACGGCTACATTTCCTTTGATCTAAAGTCTAGAGCAGCACATTTTTACGCCGTGCTGTCGTGACCTTGGGCACGAAGATATGCACTCCGACCCGTTGACGCTAAAAAGGTAATCAGCGCTGTTGTTACCATTGGAACGTACGATCCTCTTGGCATCTCATTCGATAGAAATGGCCAGGCGAGCTCCGTCCGATTTATCCGACATGATCTCGTTCCGGTTCTGTCCGGCAGGAACGAGGCATATGATAGGTACCCGGGGTGGCTGACGGGAGGAAGGTGAAGAGAATAGGATGAGGGGAGGACACGTTGGCACGGTAGACGGTCCACGACCGATGAGTCACACTGCGAGGGAGGGAGGGAGGGAGAGGGAGAGAGAGAGAGAGAGAGAGAGGGAGGAGCGAGCGGTCTCCGGAAGGACGCAGGGTCGCAGGTGAACAAGGAGGGGGAAGGATAACGAGGCGCAATGAGGTTGAAGCTACACGGGAGGGAAGGATAACGACCCTTAGAGCGGGTGAGACTCAATACCACCCTTAGAGTGGGTGAGACTCTATTCTTCTTCTTGCCTTCCTCCGCCCGCTTGGCACCTAGGGAGATTTATATGCTCCCTAGACGATGGAATGGGAAGCGATCTGCCTTCTGGCTGCTTCGTGTTCCGGTCTCTCTCCTTGGACCGTCTCCGCTTCCCGTTGGTTAAGCTCCGGGGGCAGTGCGGCAGGCGACGATCAGCACCCGAGCCCACGTGGAGTGGAATGATGAACTGAGGACCTCATCAGCACGGGGCCTGCCCAAGTGAAATGAAGAGTAGGAAACACGGGATAAGATGCGACATTTTACGACACCCTTGTTACGCAAGAAGAGTGCGACGAATTGGGCCTATCCCATGGGTCTTCGTCTACGCGTACGCTTGCGGTCATGGCCCCTCGATTTGTTTGGGGGTGAGAATGACGAATGAGAACAAGTTGGTTCCGCCTTTATCCGACTGATGGATCCCTCACTGAGTTTTCTAGTCCTCCAAGATCCGCATGTTCCTCACTCTCATCTGCGTCCGCATCCCGACCTTGCTCCCCCCCCCCCATCAAAAACGATGCTCAGCCAAAGCACCCCAACACCATTCCCACCCAGCGTTGTTCGGAAAAGGCCCCTAGGCTCTCCCTTTCGGCATGCCTACTTCTCTGCCCTCTCATCTCCCGCTCCCCCTACCGTCTCTCAATTGTCGTAATTGGATAACTCGTACCTTTGAACAAACAGATGACGTGGGCATGTGAAAAATAACCCACTGTTTCGCGGTGTCTTCCCCCCTAACGACGTTCAGATAGAATCTACGTTACGGGTTATGTGAACTGGGCTCGACAACGAACTCGACACCGTTGATTGTCGATGACCAACGGTGGAAACCACGATCTCAGGCCGTGAGGTGGAAGCGATTCGGAAGAATCACCCTGGAGATGCTGCAACGCAAGGCACACGCCAACACAAATGTTATCTTTTCTCTCTCCTCCCGTTTTGATTTTTTGCCCTTCTCTCCGTGTGCTCTCGTGCTTGCTGGTGCGAAGAGACTCGCTAGTTTGATGGCAGGGCGCAGATGGGTTTCGCTCAGACAGAGTTCACTTTGGCCGATCTCAGTTGATCCTTGGAGGGTCAAAGCAAAGTGTAGCGACTGGGTGGACCACCCATCCGACCGCTCCTCAATTCCTCACATTTGTCCGGCGCAGGAAGAGACGTCCTAGTCAACTGAGTAGCGCATCCAGGGACCCTGCTCGTCTCCGTCCGGCCAGAGTCTATCCGCAGACCGATTGTCCGGAGGGTGACATCCGGATGATTCGCATCACGATGGGCGTGCGCAGCGCCGCCGCGGCCGCATACCTCGACACTTCGCCAACACGAACGTCCCAGCGTCTCGTTTTCTGCATTTACGGGCATAATGCCATGTGATGATGCCTTCTACAGAAGTCTACACTATATTTTAGTTTGCTTGTTGTTAACTTTCAGATTCTCGACAAGGCTGATGGTTACGGATGCGCAGGCATAATACAGGGACCGGAAAAGGTCCTCGCTTAGCTACGACGACAGAGTATTACTCAGTGCTCTACCCGACTCGCGCGCGACCTTTTCTGTCGAGAACCACGGCAAGGCGGTTGGAAGAGCAGGAGAGGAATGGCCAGGTGTGAAGGCGGAAGAAAACGGACAGCCCCCACTCGAGAAGAACGGAGGCCGAAAGAGTGATGGTCCCGTTTCTCTCTTGATCAATAAACAGATCGATGATGTTGTTGCTCTAGACAAGGATGGTTCCGCTGTCATCCGCATCTTCTTTGTCCACCAACGATGACCTGACGTCCAGTCACCAAGGGCTCCACCACCTCTTCCCTTGGTTCTCTTTTTTCCTTTCCCATCTGCCCACTCTCTCTCCCATCTGTGAGGCGGGACGACCGGATTCGATAAGAGTCAGTGAGCAAAGTCGAAGGCATCAGGACCGGCAATTCCGTAGGCTTTAGCCACTCCCGTGTGACGCTGATGGATTTCTCTCTCTCTCTCTCTCTCTCTCTCCCTCCCTCCCTCCCTCCCCCTTCATTTGACGCAATTGCGGCCTTTGTCTTTGTCCGTGTCGCTCTTCCTTTGTCGTGTCGGCATCGTCATACCTTCTCCTTTCGCCTTTCCCTTTTCCCTCCCACTCTTCATTTCAGGAAGAGTAGAAGAGCCAAGCGAGGATCGGGTTTCAGTCGGAGGGAATCGTAGGTTCAGACGCGGCATACGCCCTTTGCGACGTCAGAAAAGGAAAAACAATCCTCCCCAACAAGGCCAATGGTCTCCACTCACCCGTCCTCCACTCTACTCTCCACCATCTTTCGCCCTTTCCTCGTCGTTCATAAGTACGCCCTCTTCCCCCCCAGAACACGCCCTCCATCCTCTTCCCCCCTCCCTTCGAGCTGATCGTTGTTCCTCACCTCAGGAATCCACCACCCAGGGAGTCAGTCTCCCTCTGAGAAGAACCCATCATTCTGTGTCTTGAACCCGTCGAGGCCCGCGGGCCTTAAAGAGCCATGAGCTTCTTGCTGGAGCGTTCCCGTCTGGCGGCTGTTTTCCGCCGCCTGTATCGTCTACCCGCTCTCCTCGTGGGTCTATTCCGGTGGCTATTCCCTTGGGCGCCCATTTGGAACCTCTGGGCAGGATTGCAATCACAGGCCTACTCGAGCCACACAAAGTCCAGTACAGTCCCCGCTCGGCTGGTGAAGGACAGCCTCCGTATATCCACATACGGCGATGCCACCCGAGCGCTGCGAACCCACGACGGTGGCTGTCGTGGGTGCCGGGCGGAGGACGAGAAGGAGGTTTGTGCGGTGTGCCTGAGAACACTCAGGAGCGAGGACAGGGTGAGGATGCTCAGGAACTGCCGCCACGTCTACCACCGACGATGCCTCGACCGGTGGCTCGACTACGACGAGCAGAGGACCTGCCCTCTCTGCAGGGCCCCGCTCCTTTTCGTTGACCCTAACCGGCCACCGCAAGAGCGTCGTCCGGCGGAGCGCACCCTGGCCTCGGAGCCGAGCTGGGCCGTGGAGCAGCTACTCTATCTGTCCGGGGACGACCTGCTGCCGAATGCACCGCTGCGCCATTCCCCCTCTCCTTACGCCTAGATCTTTATCATGTGCTATTGAAATGGAAATCACCCTTGTTGTACATAGAAATCCCAGAGACCGAAGCAGCGGGGTAGGGCTTCTCACTCAGTGGGGACAGGATTGGATGAATACGATATTGAATTTTGCTTTTGTTGTTTCGTGATCTTTCTGGCATACGATGGCACAAGAACCTTCTATGTGGCAGTCGGGAGCGGGCAGAATCTGATTGTAGGCAGCTCTCCGAGAAAACCGCATGGGAATCTTTCCCTGAGCTCACTATAGGGCTCCGCTAGCTCAAACCGTCGGGCCACGACAGCCATGAATATCTGCAAGGAGAGGGAAGGAATGGAATAGCGGCGGAGAGTTCTCCGGATAACATGGGAAGCTTCAAATAAAGGAGCATGAGGTGGGAGAGAGAGGGAAAAAGAGGAGAGCTCAGTGCTGCACCTTTTTTCCCCGTTCGATGCCATTTTGACGCGCGCAGGAACCTTTTCGAGAAATATTGTCATGCGATACAAATAATCCCGCACACTGGGTACCTATGGAGAGGCAAACAGGGCCGAAGCTGAGTTCCTGTCGGCGGAGACCCATTGAAGATTTAAAAATGGCCCTTGCGCTCAGCTATTAATGCCGTAGTAAGTGAAGAATCAAATAGTCGAGCGTCCGTAGAGCGCAGACTAATTCGAGATTAGCTTTTGGCATTGATGCGGCGTCGTCATTCTCTTGTTCTGTCTTCGACCGGCGTGTTCGTTATCTGCCCGTCTCTGGGGACGGGTATGACGCACCGGTCGAAGCACATCGAAATTCCTAATGCCTGGAAACATGCCGAACCGTTCCTCCTCGATTCCTAGTCAACGAACACAGTTTAAGGAAGACGCGAGGGTGCCCGCGCTGCTGGGGGGTTCACCCGAGAGTAGAAAAATGCGTTGGTCTAACCCAATTCTGGTTTTGAAGTCTGTTGCTTTCCTGTTCCGCTGAGATTCTGGTCCCTGGGCACGTCCTTTCGGAGTAGACCGGTAGCCCAGTGCTCCCGTTTGCCTTCTTCGATCAAGTCACGTGAATCTCAAAACCTTGTTTTAGTTCTTGGATTCATAGTCCACTTTGCGTGTTTCGGTTTATTTTACGGGGAGTCATCATCCGTTTGCTCCTCGGAGTAGCCCGATATCACTACGTGCATCATTGTCCCCCCATGCCCTCACACAGCAGCATCCATGCCGAAAGAGCGAGCCTTCCTCCTCGACGACGGCCTCACCCCGGCGGGATGGCCCGATGGTCTTCCTCTTGTGTGCCAACAGGAGCGGCAGCCCTGCCCGTCCGGAGTGGAACACTGTGGACCGACTTCCAACGTTAGCGGTTCAAGAAGATCACCCCGGCGCAACTCGTCTCGGCCGGGCCGATGGAGAAGGGGACGACGAGCCCACGGCTCTCCGATCTACGTGACTCGTGCGAACAGAAAGAAAGAGGCGGTGCCCCGGTCTCCGTGTTCTCACGACGATCCCCACGTTTCTAAGATTCTATTTATCCAAACTTGGATGAGCTTCGGCTTCTGGTCAACCCCCACGCAAGCCCTCAGTTCTATTGCCCAGTGGTCGCAGCAGCTCCCTATCCAACGTCGCTCTCATCCATCCATCTCCCTCTCTTTCTCTGTACCTCAGCGAGAGGACGCGTTGGGGCGGAGTCCACAAGACAGCAAAACCTCGGGCCCACGGCGGCTAAGTCCACCCCGGAGATCGCGAGCCTATCAGCTGCAATAATTGCCGTCCTGATTTCAACGCTGGCCAAACGGACACCTTAAGATGGGAAGATGTTGTCTTGTCGCCCTAAGACTTTCGCGATACTTTGGCGCTGCCTCTGGAGGACCATGCTTCGGAACGGGTGGCCCGCCCTCTACCTCCTCTGTCTCACCATCGCCCACTTCATCCCCGCTCCCCATCGCGCCTGTACCCAACCGGAGAGACGCTCCCTCCTCTCCTTCCTATCCAACATCTCCTCTCCGGCGGAACGGCCGCTGCGATGGGGAGCAGTCGCCGACGACTGTTGCCTCTGGGAAGGCGTTATATGCGATGTCGACGGGTCCGTATTACGCCTCCGGCTACCGGGAAGAGGCCTCGGGGGAACCATCTCCTCCTCCCTGGAAGGGCTCGCCCGCCTCGTCGAGCTCAATCTGTCGCACAACTCACTCGACGGCGTGCTTCCCCAATCCCTTCTGTGGATGGATCACATCGTCATCCTCGACGTAAGCTTCAATCGTCTCCACGGTCAGCTGCTGCCGCCTCCGCCTATAGAGAATTCGGGCCAGTCGTCAGCCAGCGCCAGCCGCCCGATTCAGTCCCTGAACGTATCCAGCAACCGGTTCACGGGGGAACTCCCTAAACTACCTCGGCTCCCGCATCTTCGGGAGCTGAATGCGAGCAACAACAGCTTTTCTGGCTCAATCCCCTCCTCCGTCTGCGGCCTCTCACCCCGCCTCAGGATCCTCGACTTCAGCCACAACCAATTCGCCGATAAAATCCCCCCGGGATTGGGCTACTGCTCGGAGCTGGAAGTGCTTGATGCGGGCTTCAACAACCTCGCCGGGCAGCTACCAGTTGATCTCTACGACACCGCGCAGCTCTACCGCCTTGCCCTGCCCTATAACCGGCTCAGGGGTGTACTCCGCGGGGAGCTCATTTCCAGGCTCACAAATCTCGTCGTCCTTGATCTGGGGGGGAACGACCTGATGGGTGAGCTACCCGGAGGCATCGGCAGGCTGACGAACTTGCAGCAACTGTTGCTCAGCGACAACAGGTTTAATGGAACCATCCCCTCGGAGCTGCTAAGTAACTGCACGAAGCTCAGGAATCTCAATCTGAGAAGCAACCATCTCACCGGAGACATCTCGGCCATGGATTTCTCCCCGTTCTCGCAACTCAGCACCCTCGATCTAGGGAATAACAACTTCACGGCGCGGCGATTCCCGATGAGTATATACTCGTGCAGGTCCCTGACAGCCCTCCGCCTGGCCGGGAGCTCGATAAGCGGGTCCTTGGCAACTGAAATGCTCGAGCTGCGGTCGCTGGCCTACCTGTCCCTCTCCAACAACAAACTGAAGGGAATCCACCAGGCCCTGCAGATACTCCGGAGAAGCAAACATCTCACCGTCCTGCTTCTGGCGTGGAACTTCGACGGAGAGGCCATGCCCGACGGACTTGACGCCGTTGGGGTGGATGCGTTCCCAAATCTCCGGGTCCTGAGCTTCTGGGGCTGTCGCCTCACGGGCAGAATACCTCAATGGATAGCCGGACTGGGGAATCTTGAGGTTCTGGATCTGTCAGGTAATCAGCTCGCTGGAAGGATACCCTTGTGGGTCGGTGCCCTCCCGAACCTCTTCTATCTGGATATGTCCGACAACCGCCTCTCTGGGGAGATCCCGTCGGAGATGACGGGCATGAAGGGATTGCAATCTGACCCGGCGGCCGTCCAGGTAGACCAGAGCTACCTTGAGCTGCCCCTTTTCAGGCACCGCGGGGACAACACATCCAGGTTGCAATATAACCAGGTTTCCAATCTTCCACCATCATTAAATCTAGGAAATAATAGTCTGAGTGGAACGATTCCACCGGAAATTGGCCAACTCAAGAGACTTGTCATACTGGACCTCAGTGTGAACAACTTCTCCGGCGAGATCCCGGAGAAGCTCTCCGACCTCTCAGACTTGGAAACACTGAACCTCTCAGGTAACCGTCTGTCGGGCCCCATTCCGCGGGCGCTGATCCGCCTAAACTTCTTGTCCGTCTTCAGCGTTGCGAACAATAACTTAAGTGGCCCTGTTCCCTCCGAAAGGCAGTTTGCCAACTTTCCCAACTCCAGCTTCGCAGGGAACGACGACCTCTGTGGACCAGTTCTTCTGCGTCCCTGCTCCACGACATCTGGAGCAGAACATCTTCCGAGGCAGCGGCGCAGAAGAAGCAAGAAACTCCTTCTTGCGTCATTACTGATCACTGGACTTGGTGTGGCCTTAATTTCGATACTGCTGGTCTTCTGCATGCTGTCCACGAAAAGAGGCAGGCACACAGGGCGCAGAGGCTTCGGCTTCGGCGTGATGGACGCAGAAGCAATCTCCTCGGCCAGTCCCATCTCTGGTCTCCACGGCGGTCCGGCCCGAGACTCCAGAGTGGTCGTGCTGTCGCCTGGCATCCTGTCGAAGAACATGACAGTATCGGAGATCATAGAGGTGACAAACAACTTCAGCCAGGACAACATCGTCGGGTGCGGGGGTTTCGGTCTGGTCTATAAAGCTAAGCTACGAGATGGCACCGAGTTGGCCATTAAGAAACTGACCGGTGAAATGGGACTCATGGAAAGGGAGTTTGCAGCCGAGGTTGAAGCTCTGTCCACCGCCCGCCATGAGAACCTCGTTCCCCTGTGGGGATACTGCGTCCACGGCAGTGTCCGCCTTCTGCTTTACTCCTATATGCAGAATGGCAGCCTGGATTTCTGGCTGCACGAGAAAGACGACGGGGGTTCGATATTGGACTGGCCGGCCAGGCTCAGGATTGCCCAAGGTGTCAGCCAAGGCCTCGCCTACATTCACCTGGTCTGCGATCCGCCCATCATTCACCGTGACATCAAGTCCAGCAACATCCTCCTCGACCAAGAATTTAACGCACATCTGGCCGACTTCGGCTTGGCACGGCTCATCCTTCCACACAAAACTCATGTGTCGACTGAACTGGTCGGGACGCTTGGTTACATCCCACCCGAGTATGGGAACGCCTGGGTTGCCACTTTGAGGGGCGACATCTACAGCTTCGGGGTGGTCCTGCTTGAGCTGCTCACCGGCAGGAGGCCGATCGATATGCGCAAGCCCAAGCAGTCAAACGAGCTGGTCGGGTGGGTGCTAGAGAAGAGGCACCAGGGCGAGCAGGAACAGGTGTTCGATCCCCAGCTGAGGGGCAAGGGATTCGAAGAGCAGATGTCGGTAGTGCTCGGCATGGCCTGTCTCTGTGTAAGCCACAACCCTTCGAGGAGGCCAATGATCCGGGAAATCGTCAGTCAGCTTGCTGGTGTCGGCGCCGACCCGTGTGCAGTCGAGCAGTAAGTAGCATCCACAGACGAGCCCTCGCGACTCTCGACAGAAGGATGAGAGCCCATCTGAAAACGTGCAGAACGGCCAACTCTGCCGCACTCGGCCGATAAGAGTAGCCTGCACGCACAGATCCCAAGGATGGTTAGCTTACTGGGGCCGGCAGGATGAAGTTTGGGGAAAGTATAGCTGACGAGCTATATCACGTCCGAGAGTCCAATCGTAGTGGATGTTTGGCGAGGTGGCTGGGGGATTGTGCGGGTTTATGGGTCCGTATCTGGTCCGCGGGTCTGGATTGGAACCCTGCTTTTCCTTCTCACGGGACTCAGCCCAGTCTCATTTCATTTTCCCGTGTAATCCTACTCTTGTATGACTAGGTGATCCCACCCTCTTATTTTCTGCCAGATCCTCCCTCAATCATTAGCGGATCGTAGGGTCGATCGTGATTTGGCTTCTCGATAAAAGAAGAAACTAAAAAAACAAAAACAGAGCCTTGTTGCAGCTATATTCTTCCATTCCTCTGCAGTTTCTATTCTCTCCTTATCTGGTGCTCCTAAAGACGCGAAAACCTTGCTGAAGATCCTGCGGCATCAAATATCCTGCCGTCTGAGGGGAGAGATGACGAATCCCGCCCTGGCCTAATGCTACGAATTTGAGAAATGAAAGTTCTCCCCACCTTTGGCGTAGGTAGCACCGCCACAAAGAAGAGAGAAAGTAAGCTACCTCCTTTATCTTCTCTTTATCAAGCCGGTCCTAAGCCAACTTGTAATGGTTTTTTTTACTTCGTCGATTTTTATGGGATAATCAAATAGCGTACCACGTAACAAATGGATCGGCGGCGATGCGGCACTTCGCTAAATGGTTGCGACAGACAACAATCGGACGTTTGGGTTCTAAAGTGCGGGGTTCTAGCTTAGTAGAGAAGCAGAACAGGGATTTGCCTGGGAAGCTTTTTCTGGTCATAGAATATAAGCCACTGTTCCAACTCAAACGCATGCTTCTGCAACCTCGCCATGGTGACAAAGCCACTCCTCTTCTACAGGCCAGAACTGCATGAAACTTCTACAGACAAGTCAGGTTGCGTCTGCTCCCCACAAGACGGTCCACATCTGCGGTTTTGGCAGTTCATCGAGAATAAAATGTCCAGTGAAGAAGTAAAAGCGCTACGGCCTGGCGATGCAAAGCACCTTTCTCGAAGCGACGTTGAGGCTGCCCGGCGGCGCGGAGGGGCGCCCAGCGCGCTTCTTCCTACTGCTATCTCACGTCACTGTCGCGGGACAAATCCCTCTGTTGCCATCGCCCTCGGCCCGTCAGCCTTGGGGATGGAGCCATTTGGGTTGTCAGTGCCATCAGCCTAAGAGAGTATCTCGTAGAGGTCTCTGAATGTGGTACATTGGAAATGCTGCAAACAGGGAATAGGAGGGAATAGTAGATTGGAAATTCGTCGGCACCACCGTGCGGGGATGAGGCTCTTGTAGAAAAATAGCGGGGACGACAAGTCAACTCGGTGAAACATTAACTCTTTTTTAGTTATTTTCACCTAATTTCAATCCAATTCTATTAGAGCAAAAGCCTAATATGGACTAACGGAAATTACTCTCTCGATTCGTATGACGTGAAGGAGGAAAGAGTGTTTTATGACCTCCTACGTCCACGAGTGATGAAAGGTCCACTAGAATTGGCCCTCTGATGAGAGAGGAATATAAAATAACTAATTTTTTATCTTGGCATTCTGATGGGCTCCCGTTGACGCGGTCAAGGACCTGGCTTGTTAACTTCACGCACAAGACAAACGCCACGTCTCGCTGACCGAGTCCGCCGTGAAGTGAGCAGAAGATGGCGTAAACGGTGAGGGGGGGAGGAAATGGGAGGAGAGAGAAGAAAAGAGGAGCCAGAGTACGACGATGAACTCGATGAAGACAAAAGCAATACAAACCAAGACCACCGGTCTTGAGGTCGCCGATACGAGATGGCGAGTCTCCAGCTGCCGAAAGAGTTTCATTACACGATTTTTCCTCCCTCTCCAGAGGCCGCTCCTTCTCACGAGACAGGATCCGTCGGCGTCGAATCCTGCCGTTTGAGCAGGTTCGCCGCCGTATCCTTCCGCCGTCCTCATCTTCTGTCCAGCAGGATCGGCTGCAAGTTCCCGCGTCCTGTCGTCTTGGGCTCCGCTCGGGCTGCTGGACTGTAGCACTGGATTGGGCCGGCTTTGTTGAGACCGCGCTCTCCCCGGCCCAGTTCCTGCTGTTTGATAGAGAACGAATCCTTGAACCTAGAGATCTACTTTTCTTAAAATCCTCTCCCGAGTTATTTCTAATTTCTAATGAGATGAACAAATAAAGAGGAGCCTCGGCGCCTAGGGTCGACTGGAGAAGCGTGCCTCACGTCGTGAATTCAAGAAACGTGCCACGTGTGGGCTGTTTTCATGAGAAGTGGCCAGTTTGGGTCGTTTGCTCTTCCGTCGCCTCAGAACGGTCTATACGTTATCGGCCGTTTCCGTTCTCCTTCCGTGGGCCGTTCCGGTCTGCGGACCACTTGTGCTCCATTAAATATGAATCTGGGCATTTAATGAGTCCTTTAAAAGGCGAGCCACTTAAAAAAATAAATTTAATGTGGATCATTACACTGACACCAAGCTACAGACAAAAATGAGAACCGATAAGAATACCAGAATTGAGATTGCCTGAAATCAACCGATTTGCGTGAGAGTGAGAGAGAGTGAATAAACAGAATAAATAATTGTATGTTGAATTCAAAAAGCCACACGTTCCAATTCTGTCCCGAGTATTTATATCTACTTATCTTCTCCGAAAAAACTACCGGGAAGAAACTTAGAGACGTCTTTCTTTTCCATATGGTTCTAATCAGTGCACAACCTAGTAGGCTATTTGATAGTTGACTTCATTGGGCATAACAAAATGAGTCATATTTCAACAGTATCTACCTAGGTGAATAACTCAACTACCTTGGAGATTATTTGGTACTCAGTTTTCTTTGGTGGGAAGTTTCTCCTTTTTAGTAACTGGATATCAGAATCAAATTCAAGTAATATTGGTATTTCTCTATTGTAATCTTCTTGGTTAACATATATGTAACTTTTTCTTTTATATGAATTTTCTATAATCAAATATCTCTTGAATTTACTAACTCTTTGATCTTGTGAAGCATCACATCAATTTATTTAGTCCTTGTATGATACACATGCCTTTTCTCAAATAAATGTCACTCTAATTGTTACAATATAAATACTCTACGTAGATCAATTTTCAGTTTTTTCTTTCATGAATTAATCTTCTTTAGAAGCATTAGCATCTATCATACACAGCCTCGATTGTAGATACTATGACAATCATTTAAAGTACATATTTCTAATTAACTATCCTATTTAGAAATGTAAACACATAACTTGTTGTGATTCTACGATTATCTAAATCACTTGCAAAATCTATGTCAATTGAATATTCCATGGATATTATATTTCATTTTTAAAATGTTATTTTAATATTAGTGAAACCTCTAAGATATCTTACAATTCACTTAATCTCTTTCAATATTATTTTCCTAAAATTTTCATAAATCTACTCATTGTACCAAATGCATATACTATGTTAGGTATTGTAAAATTCATGATGTACATCTAACAACCTAATATATTACCGTAAAATATCTTGCTCATCTCTTGTACCTCTACTTCAATCTTTGGACTTAAACATTTCAAGCAATTAAAAGTGACAAGGAAAAGGATGTTTACTTATTTAATATCACTCATACCAAATAGTTTCAATACGTTATTGATGTATAACTTTTGTGATATCCACATAATATTAAGAAAATACACAATCTATCTTCATAATAGTCATAGTAGGTGTAACAAATTTACATCATGAATGAATTAAACTTCTTATACCATTGTTCTGGAGATTATTTTAGTTTATAGATTAATTTCTCTAACATGAAAACAAGATGTTCCAATTCTAATTATTTGTATCATTCAAGCTAGGACATAGAAATAATTTCTTCTAAAATACCAAAGAACAATGTAACTTTTACATCATGCTATTCTAATTCATGTCTTCATTTATTACTATAGCTAATACTATCCTAATTGATGTATGTTTCACTAGTAGAGAGAAGATTTCATTGTAGTTAATTTAATTTTCTTGTGAATATACTTCAACTACTAAATGAGCCTAGAACTTTTATCCTTTTTTAAATCTAACATACTTTTCCCTAAGGTTCCATTTACATCTAGCTACTTTATTTCCTTTAGAAAGTTTGTCTACATCTCATGTCTTGTTAGGCTTCATCCATTCATCCTTTTTCTTACGATTCATTACCCCTTGTGAAAGACATAACACCATCTTTCCTTAAAGAAAAATAAACATAATCTTCAAAACCATACGTCACATGTGATTTTATGGTACATCTAGTTTTTTGGTAGCAACATTATATTACTATCTTGAATTTATTATGTTATTTTAGCATTTTGGTAGATTAATTTCCCCATCAACCTTCACATAAATGTTTTTTCTACTATAATTTTCATTATCTAGATATAATACATGTTTGTCATTTTTGGACTTTAATATGTAGGTTTCAAAAATATTATATCTCTACTAATTAATTTTTTATTAGTTTTTGAACCCTAAAACTTGCATCCATGAACTCCATCATTATAGCATAATAGCTTAAGAAGATGCACATCTTTGATTTCATGTTGAGCTCTAATCTTTACTCACTTTGGAATAAGTTCATAACCACAACAACCAAATATTTTCAGATTTGAATAGCCTACTTATCCCCTTATTCAAACTAACAAGAGACAAGCCATTCAAGAATCAAGGAGATGAAGGTAGTGATGAGTTGGAGCTGCAACGAGGAGGCTACGAGATGAGTTTGAATCTTGATGGGGTGACGGCAAGACAAGACAAGACTAGAGGGATGATAGTGAGATGAGACGAGGTGGGAGGAGCAACAATGAGTCAGGACAAGGCTAGAGGAGCACCAATGAGACCAAATGAGGCCAGAGGCAGCAAAGTAAGCAGGAAGAAGACAATAAAAAAGACCTTGTTAATCTAGAGTTCACTCGACAAGGTTGAGTTTATGTGTGACATTACAAAAGACATTAATTATCTAAAATTTTAAATATACCCTCTAACACCAACTTCTTCACCATCTTTTTGAGCAAGAACAATATTTGGTGATATATTAATTACATAACAAACTATGCTAATACATTGTTGAAAACTGTCTACTTCATTATCTCTACAACACTACTTTATTGTGTTGCTTTTTGCCTGCGGGGTCTCTTAATCTTGTGTTCTTTGCAATACTTCAAATAAGAATCTTTATACTATGCAAAATTAATAGTTCTCAAGACTTTGATCTTTTTCGTCATCTAGTTTTTCACTTCCACTTTTCACAATTTTATTTCACAAGAAACTTTGTAGTATGATTTATAAATAAACCCTATCTTTCTTGGAATATTATTGATACAACTTATAGTAGTATGATCTTTCATTTGCCTTTATGCTCATGTGCTCCCAAACATCTGAATATACATGATTTAATATTTTTTCTACTACAAATGGTTTTTTAAAATTGAATCTTGCAGTATTTTGCATAAAAATGTATTTGTCAAAATCTAACTATAGGCATTGACTCCCTTTAGTAAACTTCACTTATGAAGATCCTTTATACTATTTTCATTAATATGACCTAACTTTAAGCATCATAATAGTATGATGTTTGTTGTAGAGTCTTCAGGTGTGACTGATGATGCTCCACATACAACTATATTCCCAAAAACATGTAAATATTTTGTAATAGCTTCTTTACTTTTATCTTTACCAATGCTCCTTTATAGACTCAAGGTTATAGTTTCTACCATAAATGTAATGCCATATGTATTCAATGTTCTTAGTAAAATTAGTTTTTTCTTGATATCAAACATATATCTCACATTCTTTGAAGTCCTCAAGGTAACATCATGCATCTTAATTTTGATTATACCTATTGCAACATTTTTTGTGAATCATCACTCCCCATTACAACTCATCCTAAATTGATTGTCTTGTAAGTGTCAAACTGATTTTACATTTAGAATCATGATACGAAAACCCAAAGTCTAATATCCAAAGGATATAAATATGTTTTATTACAACAAGCATCGATAGTATATCCCTGTCACTAATGTCTAATCCCTCTCTTGCAATATTTGCAGAGGTAGAAAGGTTGTTCTTACCCCTATTTTCATGGTTTAGCCTTAGATAGTCTCTCAACAAGTGTTCCTTCTCATGACACATCATTCTATGGTCTTAGTTTAATTTGCTCTAGATTTGATTGTAAATATGACTTCCTAATCTCTATTGACTTTTCTTTTTCCCTCACTCTTTCACTTTTTCCCCCTTTCTTTAGTCATAGCCCTTCAACTTGTGAGTCTTTTCAAATTATTCTTCCTCTCTTTATATTGTAAAAAAGTAGGTGTAACTTCTTCAGTGTAAAGGGTTTTCTATCCCCACAACAATACTATCATTAAATGCTTGAGTGTTTCAGAGAGAAGGAGGATCAATGTCTTATTATTTATCTTCAAATTTTATCCCTAATATCAGTAGATCATTGATGATCTGATTATATTATTTATATGAGCAATAAGATCATAACCTTTGTCATCTTATAAGCCCATGCAATTTTTGTTTCATCAAAGGTTTCAAATAAATCAACTCTACAATTCTGTGTAAATCCTTCTAGGCAAACTCTCATCTAAGACATGATACGCAATAGAATTTGCTAGAGACAAATGAATGCTATCAGTGAGTCTCATTTTCAAGCCTTCTCAATTGTTGCCCATCATCATTTCATGTTTTCTTTATTTTTTCATATAATCCCTTGACTAGATCTTGCTAAACCATTAGATCTTTCATTCATCTCTGCCATACACTAAAGTTGAGTGTTTTGTCAAATTTCTCCATGTTGAATTTTTAATAAGTGTTTATCACTTGATTGTCACTTCTAATTAGTGCTCTAATATCACTTGTTACATCGATAAGCACAGCAAATGACATACAAGACGAAAAGAGGAAATTAATTACCTTGTTGTAATTCAAACAGCAATTGATCTGCTTTTATCTTCTTGAGAAAAGAGATGAAAAGAGTCCGAGAGGGTGAATGCACGGGATAATCAAGACTGCGTGCATAATTCAAGAGAGACCACACATGTTGCAATTTGTCAATCCCCTCTCTCTTCTCCAGAGAGATTATAAAAGTACCCTCAAACATCATAGGAAAAACTGATACCAATGCTCCTCTACTCGCTGACCCGGCGCGCGGCCAGTAACCTGCTTGACGGTTGACTTCATCGTGCCAATATAGATATGAGCCATCTCAACACTAATACATAACTAATGCCGTCCGTCTCCTTGCACAAAATGAAGCGGGAGAGAGGCCCAAATAGCGAGCTGACTTCTTCTTCTCCGCTGCTTCGGTTAGCTCCCGCGGCCTGCCTACCCCTCCGGGCGTCGCTCCTGCCTGTCTGGTTGGAAGCCCCACGAACACGATGCTCAGTCTTTCCCGGCTGACGCTTCTCCTCTGTTGCGCGTGGGCCGGTACGCTCCTTTACGGGGAGATGTTCACCTACTGGCTCCCCTTCTGGACATGCTCCTGGCCGCACGGGGAATTCTCCTCCTCGGTAAGCGAAGAGCTGCTATAAAGACTGCTTTTGTTTTCCCTCTCGAACAGTTTACCTCCTACGGTTTGATTTTTGGACGCTCCCCTACCGATCCATTCGGTAGATCCTCTATGCTCGAATCGGCAGACTGTGATCGTCCTTCCCCGTGCGAGGTAGAATGCCACCAAGAACAGTAACTGCTTACGCGGATCTCGTCTGTCTCGTCACATCTGGTTCATTCGGGGGATAACAAGCACCCCCGAACGCATCAGATGTGTTCGAGGGGTACATCGCGGCCTCTTCAAAAGGAGAAAGAAAACGTAAATTACGTGCTCTCTCTATCTCCCTAAGAAGGGAATTTCTATTTCGTCGTCGTAGGAGAATCTCTCTCCACTGACACATGTTTGTTTGCATACGCATCGACCTCAGTCAGACATCAGTGACCTCTTCTGTCTCTTTGCTCAGGTTTTCATTCTCACTCCTAACAAAAGCCTTCAGATTCGTTCGCTCATTTTCAAATTTTGCTCTTCGAACATCGCTTATTTATTTTTTCATTCACAAACTCACACGCTGTCTTCCTTGTGTGCGTCAAATGGAGACGTTATGCTCTTGGGAAATCCATTTAAATGATGGGCGTAATAGAATCATGTTGTAAAAGTGTATCATTGACGCCTCTAAACTCTTACTATCTTGTGGTTGTTATTGGATGAGACCTGCCATCATGGTGACAATTCCGACTGTTTTGGGGCCTTACAATTTTGGTCGGGTTTTCATTGTTTGTGCACTCACTGTTCTTGTTGTTTGGGTACCATTTCAAGTAGAGAGTTACATCACAGAGGTATACTCCAATAGCGGAAGTGAGAGTTTGACCAATGTTAATGTTAGAACGACAGAGATCAACATGAGTTACGGTAGAACTGGCTCAAGAAAGTTTAGAGGTCATGGAAAAGGCCACTTAGGCCGCTTCTCTACTTTGGGCATTTAATTATCCTGTGACAACTATTGCATTTCTGTGACGTGCTTGTGCGAATGATTCACTGTACAATGCAGTGTATAGCAGTTATTTTCTTACGGGCAGGACTCTGTATTCATTCTAGGAAGTCCTCCTTGGAATTGATCATCAACTGGGGACTCATAGTGTAACATAATGTGCGGAATAAGCGTTCAATTTATTCTTGGTTAGATACCACGGTTGTATGACATGGATATGACACAAGTTTATGAAGATTATTGAGCCACAGAAACCTGTCAAAATCTTTTCGAGTTTCCCTATGCGGCTAAGCCGCATGTTAATCGGATAACTGTACACTCAATCATCTCCCTATAGGGGAATCAAAATCACATTGGACACAACAGGGGTTTGTTAGTGGTTTTTATGTCCTCACATGTTTACATATCCTATCATGGAATCATTTCTCCCTATTGTCTGCCTAACCACCCTTTTTGACCTGTCATTCATTTGATTCTACAGATAATGGGCATCAAACAAAATCCAGATGACCGTCTGAATGTTGCAGTTCTGGCTGATCCACAGGTTTAATTACCTTCCCTTTCTTCTATTTACCTTTTTATTTCCAATATGTTGTTCTCTTTATCTTTTCATATCTTGGCTCCAGGCTTCAGTTTCTTTTGCTGAATTTTGAATTGTCACTCCCATTTATGAGATTTTGATTCAAATTGAAGGAATCAATGTTGCTTTACAGAAGAATGACTTCTGTTTGACAGAAAACTGAACTGCGAATGGTGTAGCATTACAAAATCTGTGGATGGATTATTAAACTTACCTCTTGGTTTCTTGAAATTGGACGAGTTAGTTTAATATTCTAGAAAAGCATTCTAAACATTTATTTTTGGTTAGAAATTTTGTATTTTATTACCGTTTTAAAGCTCAAATTTGTTATGACAGCTTATGGATCGGACATCTCTGGGCCTTCCTCCAGAATCAATGGTACTAGAGGCTGCAAAATTTTACACGGATCTGTACATGAGAAGATCTTTCTTGTCGTCTATTCTGCCTTTCAAGCCTGATATAGTGCTGTTTCTGGGTGATCAATTTGACGGGGGACCGTTGTTGTCAGACCAAGAGTAAGGAAAGCTTATTTAGTTGTGTTATTGTTTTTTGTATCATATATGGCCGGTCGTTGACGGTGAATTTACATTTTGACAGTCCGTCTAGTTTTTTTGGTCTTTTGTGTTCTACTCTGCTCATTTTGGTTGCTAAAACACGGGCCTTATGTATTTACGTATTTTTGTTTTTGTGTTGTCATCAATCAAAGCTGTATATTATGCGCTTAGACACTGGGTGGCATAACACTAGATTTGTTAAAAGTGTTGTAGACATTGTCTTCATTTAGTGACGTTCATACTAACCTCTGAATCAAAGGTTACACGCTAAGGAACTCCTCTTGCGATCTTTATGAACTCCAAGCAACCCACTGGCGTTCCCATGATATCCGCAATGATTGTGTAAAACTTTTCATTGTACGTAGTACAAACATTCAATAAATAGACCACATGGACGATTGACATCTTTGTCTATGCTAATTACTGATAATGCACATGACCTCTCTATATATCCTACCGACTCCAGGTTACAATTTTTTTTCTCTTGAAATATTAACTAACCTCTCAGTAATGTTATCACAAGTAGGGTAAGGCAATTGGACTTCACTTTCAATTGAAGTTGCAATCATGCAACCGAATAGTTTTGACATTTTGATGCCTTCAGGTCACATTGAGAAACGATTGGTTTGCAGATAGGTTCTGCAGGTTCCATTATCCATCTCTTGGATTTAACCTCTCCAGGACAGGTCTCCATTCTCCATCCTCTTGCACCGAGGGTGAACATGACTGATATGCCTCTAGCGCAGAAGCTCATACACTTCTGACTTGGTGAAGGTCAAATCATCTTCTCTCCTTGCTTTCGACCTTAGCCATATTATTTCACTATTCTCGACTTATGCTGTGTGCCGACCATGAACTTTTTGGTGCTGGCTATATACGTTGGGGAGGCCTACTTGGGTCCTTTTCTCATTACACTAATAGAACTTGCCGAATCCCAAGAAAAATGCATATCTCAGCAAGTAGACTGATTGTTCTCTCTGGTTGTGCTTCCTGGATATAAGAAAACGTTTTTTTATCCGAATTAAGAATAAAAAATCTTTAAAATACGCTAATTTATTGATGACAATGTTCTCTATATTGAATACGCTTTTCCTGAATTTCATCTTGAAGGATGGCTCAAAAATGTTAACTGATCTACTTTTTTTACGCTCTCTTTACAGGTGGAAGGAATCCTTAAATCGTTTCAAGCATATATTCTATTTAAAGGAACGAGGAAGGGATGCGGACATCAAACTTTACTACCTTAGTGGGAACCATGACATTGGGTATTCTGGTCTGCACTCTCATCATCCGGAGGTACGTTTTGAAGAACGGTTGATACTTTCTCTGATTGTCTTCGAAGGATCTTGATCTAGATGAATGCAAATGAAAGGGAAGGGCATCAGGAAGTGATTTACCTCAAATCTGTCCCATTAGAGAATAAATTGATCTCCTCGTACAAATTTTCTGGCTATGGAGGCACAATTCGTGGCCTTTGATGAGCTTCATTATATCTTTCTTGTTCTAATCCTCTCACAGCCACAATGACCATCCATCAGTAAGATGCTTGAAGGATCAACATTAACTATCATGAGATCATTATTTTCCTTTTCCAAATACATGCTTCAGAAGACTTCCATGGATTCCTCTTTTCGGAAGTTGACGGAAGTTTCATTTGTATTGGTAATATAGCATGTTCCATTGATTAAAATATAACTCTACCATTCTTCAGTAGATAATTGTCTGCTCCACCCCAACTATGGCGCATTCAAACTTTTGAGGCATTGAGCCTCCACAATACTTGATACTCCAGTTTAATGATATCCAATGCCAGTTGTAATCGAGTTGAACTTTTGCGGGCTCTTGTGCTGCTCTTTGAGTGAACTTTATGCCGAATTTAATGTAACATACGTATATATACATCCATGTAAGAGTAGCGGATTTGCAACATTATATTTTTATGTGACAGGTGATTAGCCGCTTTGAGAAAGATTTTGGCTTGCGAAACTATCGCTTCAGTGTTCAGAAGGTGGACTTTATTGTTATTGATGCCCAAACACTGGATGGTAACCACAACATTTTCATTTTTCTTGGGGATCTACTTATTATCATGCATTAATACCCTTAGACAGAGATAATTGGCTCTATATTGTTTGATATTTTCTCTCTTTTTTAATGAATAAATGAGTTTTAATGGCTACATAGTATGCTTTATAGATATTGACCATGTGTTTATGCAATGATACCACCCCACAGTACATTCAATAAAAATACGAAGAAATTAGATCAAGAATGGTCTTTGGCTATGAGCTCAGTGGAACAGAGGATATTATGCTAGAGGACTATTACAACTTTCAAGAATCCCTGGTGTATTTTGGCATGTCTGCCTATGTCAAACTCTTGTTTATGGATAGATTTTAGAAATGTATTTAGCATCAGACCTTATATTGGAATCAGTGACTAGAAAAGCAGTTGATTGAAATGGGATCAAATATCGAAAGTCTAAGACAGAAAAATGTGATTAGCTGGGTCATTCCACGAATATGCAATGGAAAACATGATTATTTTCCTCATGCAGCTGTCTATTTCGACTAGAAAATCCCAATCAAGAATATTTAGTACTATACATGCATAGATAACTTTATGGATCATGAGCCCCTTGGTGCGCTTATAATCCTTCAGATGCTGTGTAACCGTCTATGTTAGAAAATGTTGAGGATTAAATCATTGTGTCAGGTGTGACTTGCAGAAGATGTTCATCATCCCATTTGAAAGAAGTTTCTGTTGTACCAGTTCACTTCTGTGATTAGTGGTCGAATAACATGTAGGTTCTTTATTGAGTAGTCCTTTCACCCAGATATTTCGCTGATGACCGTATGATGTATGACGTGCCAGCCTTTTCCAAATATGGCGGGCCTTTTAGACACAAATTATTTTCACGAAAACCCTTCACATGCTTCTAGAAACTCTAGCTAAACGAGTTCCATTTAATGCCCACATTATGCCCCAGGTAATGTGATTAAATGGTGTTGGAGGTTATGGGAAGTTTGTTTGATCCTGCATGCTTCTTGCCAGGAACCTTTTGTATGACATCCATTTAATTTCTTTATGATGAATAATAAAAAAAATCATATTCTGGCGTACGCCCAATCTTATTGATATTTTGTATAAGAAAATAAAGTCATTTTTGAGGGCTTTTTTATGTGTGGAAAATTAATACCTTCTCATGCTGCAAAGCATTTCTGTTTGCTATGATTGGTTGTCTTGATCAGGACCTACAAAAGGGAACTTCACATCTTTAACGTGGGATTTCATCAAAAACATATCAAAGGGTCTGTAACGTTAATGTTTGCTTGGAACTGGACACTACATTTTATCTTGATGTCTCATAACAAAAATCATATTATTTATGTTCTCTTTAGATCCTTCACCAAATTCCAGGGTTCTGTTGACACATATCCCTCTCCATCGCCCTGATGGAACACCTTGTGGTCCTCACCGTGTTTCCCCAATTATCAATCAAGTATGTATTTGCGTTACAATTTTACTATTTTACCTCAACTGATTTGGTTATGCTAAAATATTGCCTTTTTTAATATATTTTCAGAGGGTCTCCCATGCTGGACCGGATCAAGGAATAACGTAAGTTTCCACACGTGGGACTCCTATTTCTTTCGTTCAATTCTTAGAATTTCTTATGTTGTATGCTATATTCCATAGACTGTCTGTTGTTAGACAAACTGCTTACTTTTGGTAACAACTTACCGAAGGTTCAAGAAAACAGATCTCAGGGTGATGATGCTGCCAAAATCGAGCCTATTGGTTGAATTTCATTGATTGACTGTGCCGTGACTACTTATAGTCTTCTTTTTGTTATTTGATGAGGTGATTTAGTTTGTATCTACCGTGAGTTTATATCCTTATGAGACCCTTGACAATATGTGTCTATTAAATTCGTGTAGATATCAGAATTACCTCACTGAAAAAACATCTGAAAAATTGTTAGAGTTGATCAAGCCGGTAAGTTCACTTTTCATCCTCTCCATGTGTTCAAATACGTGGAATTCGTGTCAATAAGTTACAATTACATGTCACTTTTTCGAGTAGTAGGTTATGAAGATAACACAGGAAGCACTAAAAACTAGTCTTTGTTCAGATGCTCGTCCTGTCTGGCCATGATCATGATCAATGCTCTGTGACCCACTCCACATCTTTTGGGCCAGTGGTGGAGGTACGTGTATGAAAGCAGATGCTGATTTAGTAAACTTCACTCTAATCTAACCTCGTAAGTTCTGCAGCATACTCTGGGAACCGTGAGCTGGCAGCAGGGGAACCTGTATCCTTCGTTCATGCTGCTTTCTGTGTTTGCCCCAGCGGTTATAAATACAACCCAAGGACATCAAGTGTCAACCAGTCTATGTTTTCTTCCGAGGCAAACACACATTTACATATGGTAGTGTGGTTTTTTTTCTGTATAATCAGTGAATGTACAGACTCGATCATATCTCTATTCTTGTGACTCATTACATATACTATCACTGCGTTGTCAGGTACTTATGCCTATTTGCCGTGACCATCCTCATGGTGTCATTCTGGCCCTCAAGTGGTGTCGGCTGTTGGGATCGATTTGTTCAGGTAATCAGCAGCTTTATAACGACTACAAAGGAGAAGAATGAAGATGAAGACTGTGAGTATGAAATGGTTTGGGATGCAGAGGGATCCATGCATCTTGTGAAGAAAGCAACACCAAAGGCACTAGCTTCATCTTCGAATGACACTGGACTGATGGGAAGGTGCATTTGTGCTTTTCTAGTTCACATTTCTTTTATGGGACGTAGATGGCAATAATTTTCTTGAGCCTGCTGCACCTGCGTACTTTTTATTATTATTTTTCATTTACAATTTACCAAGTAGACATCATAAACCAATATTCGGTAACTCCTCTCAGGGGCAATGCTATAGCACGGCCCGCAGCAAAGAAATATTTGCGCCAGGAGGCAGAGCCATCCTTCGCAGTGGATATGAGCACAGATGTGAAGTCAGCAGAGACTTGTTCTGGAAAATCGAGAGCAGGAAGGGCTGCTCAACGGCTGGTTCGCATACTCCGATTGCTTTTGATCATCGCTACCGTTAATGTACCTCTGTACATTATGTTGTTGTTTAAGGATTGGATTTAAATTTGCCGAAAAAAATCGTGACTGTAATCCGCCTTTGAACATTTTCCTCTGATTGAAACTCGGGACTTGTCTTTGTATTTTTCCATGGACAGTTGAGCGCTTTTCACTCATTTCTTAATTTTCCGGGTAGACGGTTCCCAGTTGAAAACTCATGGATGCTATAATTTGACTTGAACCAGGCACGTGCTGCTGGCCCGTGTGACGGTAGGTTCGATTCATCTGCAGGCCCAGTCTCGAGGAGTGGCATGGTGTCAATAGGAGATTCTCTTTGACCTGATATGGCTCCTGCCCGTTGTCTTTTTCTCTACATCATTTTTCCGCTCACATTTTCTCTGCTATCAACTAGGGGTGAGTCCAGACGTTAGAAATCAGAAATCTTGCAGATGCAAAGCTGAAATTTATTTAAACTTGTGGGACGCTGCGCAGTAGAAATACTGGTTCGTTTCTCAAGTTGATGGCCGTTAGAAGTAGACACTTTGATTGATCTCATCGCTCGTCCCTTCGAATATATTTTTGAATACTTATTGCTCTAGTGTATCCTTTCTTTTCACGAGAAAAAGACATATATGGACGACAGTAAAAAGTAAAGATTACCTGAGGACTTGTGTCGTCCTCCGCTTCCTGACAACAGTGACCTACCTAACACGACTTTGATATCTCTGATTCGACCCATCGACATAAGATAAGTCTAACAAACGGAGCGAAAATGAGATGGGAGGATGAGGCGAGGGCACCGCACCTCTTCCACTTTCCCCACAATCAAGTGCTGTTTAACGAAGAAAAAGAAGGGAAATTTTAAAAAAAAGTCCCAAGCTGATAGTTTTCTTCATTTTCTGTTCTTTCTCCTTATCATCTTCTTGCTCTCACGGTCTCTACTCTTTCTCGTCAAACATTTTGAGGCTTTGATACAGCACCCAAAGTCTGATTTCAATTTTGATGACTAAAGGAGGACATGATCATGTAGAGGAATGTAATGGAGAAATAAAAGAAGGATTTTGTGTTTTGAAGAATCACAATGAAAATGAGAGGAATTAGAAACTATATTCGATTACATTTTGATCCGAACTTGATACTCTATGACATCTCCTAGAGCAATGGGATGCTTGAGGAGTGACTCTTGCATTGTTTGACTTAAGGACCATGATCCCTTTCAAGGAGAGAAAATGTTTTTAATTCTATCTGTCTTGTTTTAATTTTATTCATCATAAAATTGAAATACTACATGATCTCCACACATAATTGTATTCATAACTATGCCAATATATATATATATATATATCATAACAATATTTCACTTGGGTAATATTTAGTTTTCCAATAATCTTGTCCAAAATTATTTTAATATAAGACTAAATAGATTCTTTTTATATTTGTGCCAAATTAAATCCACCCATAATCATGTACATCGAATAATGAATGACATATATCAAGTATGAAAATGTATTATGAAAATTACATGAAAGAAAATTTGCATATATACATTTACAATTAGCCCTTCTTATTCTATGTAGATCAAACAAATGTATTCAGAGTGAAAAATAAATATTATTCTTATTTGTAAAGAAAGTAGTCATAGAATGCTTACAAGTACAAGGGTACTAAATAAAAACTCTCAATGAAATTATATAAATGTTTAGGAATTATCCTCATATGAAAATTTACTTGTCCTTAACAATTATTGAAAAATATAAAATTAAAATTAATATCACTATATATTATCATCGATATTTCAATTTCATCTAAATTTATAACTTTGAGATAAATTTTCCTACATAAATCTAATAATTAGAGGGCTCAAAGAATATTATAAATTATATTACTATAGTTGAAGTTATTGTTGAGTTCTATGTGGCTAAGCACCGAGAGAGTGGGGGGGGGGGGATACCTCCAGGCACAATACAGAGGACTATGCACCACTCGGAGGAATAACTTCCTGCTAGTGATGCGTGGAGTTCCCAACATCATGGACCGATCGGATCAACATCGATCGGCTATCGCATTTCTGCTTTCATCTACAGCTTTCATTATAATCTCTCTCTACTCCTCGTGACCTTGGAAATATGAAATCTATCTCGTCTAACCCCACATTAAGGTGAAACTTAAGCATTAAATGAAGATTTTCTCTTTTTCAAGAAAAAGACACCCTAAACCCTAAACTTACACTCATCTCATTTGTTCAACTTTTTTCTCTCTCCTCGTGGGAGCTTCTCTCTCTTCAGCGTCACTTTCAAATGCCGAGATCTCTATCAACATCGCGCTGAAACTTTCATTCGATTCGGAAGGTCAGAAAGTATCAACATCGAGCCATCAAAGTGGAAAATGGTTGACTGAAGCTCTCGTTTTCGCGATTTCTTCATCGAGAGGTATTTTTCAGAACGTTGTATTTTCTAGGTAATATCTCCTGATTTACTTGGCTGAAATATAATATCTTTTGATCATTAGAATCGTATTTTCCTGCTTTATATCTTTCCCTTCTTGATCATTTGATTTTGATGCTTCGTTGATGAGTAAAGCAGCGATTTCATCGGCGGACCCATGTCCGGCCGATGAGAAACCGACCGAAGCAGGAAGCATTGGGCCTGGAAACGGCCCAAAAATTGGAACCGTCAATCGCCTGAACGGTCGATTGACGGACGGGCAGGATTCGCCGTCGGCTGGCGATCCTCTGGTCCCAGAGATCGAGGCGACGCCAGTCGGCGCCGGTCTGTTGGACTCCCTCAATGTAGATCAACGGACAGGATTTACCTGAGGCCATTACCTCGGTTACCGTGCCAAATCCATCCGCCCGTCAAATCAACGGTATAGATTTGGCGCCGCAACTTTTTGTGGGCACCGTTCCCTCGTTTGCGACGCCATGACGTCATCTGCGACAGAAGGTGCGGTCGCAGCAGCCCAGCGAACGGGAGGCCAGACCGGGCAGGCTCAGGGCGTGCCGGCCCAGGCCGCTCTAGCCCAAGCCACGCTGGCCGTGGCGGCGCCGGCTCAGGCCGAGCCGGCCGAGGTTGCGCAGACCATGGCCGTGCCGGCCAAGGCTGCGCAGCCCAAGGCCGCGAAGGCCAAGGCTATGAGGGCCCAGGCACAGGCCCAGATCGTGACGGCCAATGCAGTACCAGCCCAGGCCAAGGCCACGTCGGCCCAGATTGCACCGGCCCAGACTAAACCGGCCCAGACCACGCCAGGCCAAGTGCCACCCAGGCGACCCAGGCCCCATCGGCCTAGGCCCCACCAGCCTAGGCAGTTCAGGCTCATGCTGCTCAGGCACAGGAAAAGTTGGCCCAACCCGCCTAGGCCCAGACCCCACTGGTTCAGACTACTCAGGCCCAGACTAAGTTGGCCTAGCTCACTCAGGCCTATTAGGCCAGACCATTCAAGCCCAAGCTGTTCATGCCCAAGCCAAGTCTTGGGCCTAGGGACTAGTAGGACAACAACTCACTCTTACAGTTGCAAACACATAGAAAGCTAAATTACATCTTATTTATGACGATGTCATATCAGCATAGGGTTACATTAATGAAGTGAGAATGATAATAGTTTTATTTTTCTCAAAGTAGGTATCTTAGTTGATGGAGGCCTTCTAATTTTCTTTGATATAATGTTTTATCACGGAACTTCTCCACTTTGATGACTTATATAAGATCTATCTAGCCCTTAGACACTTTTAAAGTAATGTAGTTATCGTTGCTCGTGATTATCAAAGCATCTTTATCTATTTTGAGTTCAAAGTTGACTAAAAATAATTTGGAGCAAGACCACATGAGAAATCTAAGACGCTATTATGCACACATAGAGATAGATATTATAGACAAACGATATTTTTTCAAGAAAAGGAACCACACTCTATTCTAGTTTGGATAGATTTTCTTAGTCTATCAGTTCATTTGTTCACGTCTAAAGTATTTGAGTCTTTAGTGAATGTAGTCGGACATTTATATGCCTAAAGATCTAGGTGTTAAAATATTTAATTGTCTAGGTTATGCATGCATATGTGTAGAGGTAGACCTCTTGACCCTTTTGTAGCACATGATCATTGTGTAGAATGAGGATGAAAAGATCTATTAGGTGGTCATTTATGAGAGATTATTTTATTTCTACACCCATTGCATAGTTTTTGAGCACATCATCCACATCTATTAACATAAGACCACCTCATCATCTTTAGAGTCTACCTTAATTTATCTATCACTCCTCTCATACGATGATTACATCACTAAAGCAATGAAGATTACACCTAGCCGTTGTCTTATATAGAGTTTGTAGGCTCCCTTTCAACCACTATCGATTCTAGGCTGATACTTCTTCAACTGATCTCACTTATATTGATGTCACATCTTGTCTTTTGGGCATTCACTTTCACCTATATAAAAAAAAAGATAGTAGTAGGCTTGACACACCCCATATCAACAAGTAAAAGAAAGATAACTTAGATGTCGAGGGTATTTGAGACATTTTGATTGAGGAGGTTGACAATTTTCTCATCATAGGAGAAGATAGTAGCCTATAAGTTTGATGACGCTCCTCTAAATGAGGTGCCCCTATTATTATTTCATCATCAACCAACCCTTCTCCATCCACCAGACCTCTACCTCTTACTATTTCTATGTCACCAACTAACTCCCTTTCACTCATTAGATCTTTTTTACTCACCTATCTTCCATCACCTATCAATCCTTCATTGCTTAGGTCCATACCCTGCTACACTATACCTCATATATTTTCTCAACCCCCTTTGTTACTTGATAAGATCTTTGATAGGATCCCATCAAATACATTTTTATCAAACCCTCTTTCTCTATCACCTCACCCTTCGGATCCTCTATTGAGCACACCTTTAGAGACCTCGATAAAGCGTGACTCTAGACTAAGTCTAGTGATTGATGGTACCTTTGAGAACTGTAGTAAGAGAGAATGCTTGATGAATTATCGAGTAATCTCCCTTTCGTCCTTAGTTCAGACACTAGTGGTCACTCTACATTGAGTGTTGATAATTTTGGATTTAAGTC